CATCCGGATGCTACACAGTAGTACACATGAGGTGAGTTATAACTCGATTAGTTTAATGAGGTACGAAATTACTAACTCCTATGTAGATCCTGTTCGCCTACGAAGATGAAGCCGGCGGCGATGTAGTCGCGGCTCTCGACTTCTGGAAAAACAATCGGAAGTCTGAGATGCTCGCGCCTTGATCTCTATTTTCGTACTATATCTATTAATCAAGGCCCTAAAGCAGACGAAATGCCTGCTCGTAAGCCATGCCTAGCTCTCATCTGATCATTTGGGGTTTTAGCTCGGCCCAGACCGTGTAGGACCAGGAGATACTGGATAAGCATGCGAATTCATATATGCGGCCGGGGGTTTCTCGTCTATCTGGCCAGCATATTTCATTTTCCTTTCTACCTCATTTTTGAGAATGTCTTCAGTAGCGAGGAAATAGTTTTTAATTGTGCCTTAAGCTTCCGGATTACAGGTCGGCTGCGGACTTTGGATTTTGCTGGGGCCCTTAGCAACTAACTCTCTAACTTGTACTTAGAGGTGAAGAAGAATCCGGAAAGGGGGACTCGTTATATGCCACAGTCTGCGCTGCGTTAGGTGAAGTTGAAGTTATGACAAGTAATAACGAGCATCTTGTCGTAACATAAGAAAGAAAGAGGAGGAAAGACAGAAGAGGCGACTCGGGACGTTCGCCTAGGATTGTGGAGGGAGATGGAGAGGGAGAGGGAGGATGTGCCTAGAAACTACCTAGTAGGAAATCCCTACCGTAATCACAACAATACCCGAAGACTATGGACCCAACCCCAAGGCTTAGGAAGACAGTGCTACTACCTCTTTCGCTCGTGTTCTAGATCTGTGCTCGTGGAGTTGTTCGTGTTTGGTCCTACCTAAGTGCAAAGCTTGCAAGGCTGGATTCCTTGCTTTGGCCTACTGACTAACTGGAGTTTCTTAATTGTCCAACTATGCCTTACTCCCTATCCGAGAGGTATGTCTAGGGAATGTTTATCTACGGAGTCGAAATCGAAATCGTTCTAGCTGATTTCCTGACTCGAGTGCCAACCAGGTCACCGGGAGACTAGACTAAAAGCTATCTGCCGGGAACGGTGAGCCAAGATAAGTAGGTGTCCAGTATTTCATATATAGGTGGTTCAAGCGGTAGAGGGGCCCCTCGACCCGACGATGATATTAGTCTACGGGAAGTGAGTTCCGAAGATCACGCTATAGAGACGTCGATCTTCAGCTTAAGCTTGACGAGGTTCAAGTCTTAAGGTTTAGCGGAAGGTTAAGGGATGGATGCCCATAACTTATTTTTTATTTTTTATTATTATTTATCTCTTACCGCTGATGTGTACACTAACTGTAGGATATGTGCGTAGTGACGGGGTAAGTCATGGAATATTTGTGGATTAGTGCTCTGGGCTTTGCTTCACATGCTTGGATAGTTGGTTGTTTTTGGTGGTTTTTGGTGGTATGGTGGCATACACGCGTCTCACCGAGTCAAAACTGTCTTTCGCTTCGGTAACGCAAGCCGGCAGCGCAAGCATTCCCTCATCCGGCCGGTATGCAGCAGCAGCGTAGTGTAGTTAGTTTCGCAAACTATTATCTGTCTACCTTAGGTACATGCCCTCCTATCCGACCTACCTATACCGTAGATATTATGGAGATGAGATTTATTTTTTTCAGATCTGGAGAGCCTCGTACGTTGGTCTGGTGTCGATGTTGTGTTCGCTCCGGTCCTTCTCACCCGTCCAAGATCTGGGTCTAGAATCGTCGTACAGGAGATATGGGATTTTGAAGATTATGCTAAATTAGGTCGTAGGTCGATGGGTTGCAATAGGTACGATGCAACGCGGGAATCGCTAGACTTGTGGGTATAGGCCAGGTACGTGTATGTATATGTATGCACATGTAAGTAATGTATGTATAGCTACACATATACCTACTTATAGAAGAGCCATTGAAACTCTGCTTTCCCACTGCAACCGCCGCATTGGGTCTACTTATCTGAGTTTTCTGCCGTTTTCTGTTGTGTCTACTACTCTGATGACTACTTAGAGGGGCGTCCCGGCATATAAGAGGCTAGAAGCTTATCTTGACATATTAGAGCGGCATTGTATTTGATGGTGCAATGTTACGCTTGACATCATCGTTAGGTTGGTCAAAGACTTCTCCTCCTAAATCGCAAAGCTACGGTGTTCTAGAACATATTTCGGGGAATTTCCTCCCAGACCGAGTAATGCAATAGTCGCCAGCAAGAATTATTTAGTTGCCATTTACTGCGTTACGTATATGCAAATATGTATAGGTATATATGTATAGGTGTATATGTTATATGTGTATAAGTGCTTCGAGTACGTGCACTGATCGTGCGACAAGCCGGTATGAGATCGCAATACGGGGCTAAATCTAAATACTCCGAGAGCTCGCGTGGTGAAACCGGGCAAAACTAGACGGGTTCTTGCGGCATTTGCGCTTAGTTGTCGAATAGGTTGCCTCTTAGGAGTTGTTTACCTATAGTTAGAAGAGAAATGATGAGACGAACTGGTCGTGTCGTGCGAGGGTAAAGGCCTAGGTTCGTCCGTAGAATATGAATACACCTACGTATATTTATAAGCATACATATCTACATATATAGGCGTATAGGCGTATAGGCGTATAGTTGTATAGATACACGTACATGTTCTAGCTTGGCCTGCTTGGCTGCGTTATCGGCCTAGCTCTTCTACATCGTACCTAAGTAAACTAGGTATTCATTCCCGCTTCCCTTGCGTAAAATAAATAGTAGTACAACGATGACTACTCGCTCGTATAGTTATAGAAAAGCAAGCTTGGCGAGCAAGCGTATATAAGGTACCGAGCTGTCGGGGCCTTTCGCGCCAGCGTACGTACATAGCACGAAGGGGCAAGAGGGAATATGGACTCGTCCAGAAACCCGGAAAGGACTGACTAGTGGAGCTATGACCTTAAGCCCCCCAGGTTTTGACTTCGACGGGACAGGGTCCGTTTGGATCGGGGGGGAGCTCGTGCTAGTGTGCTGTTGTGGAACTCTCCAGGGAAGAGCTGAAGCAAACCATCACGATCGGAGCCACCGGGGTTTGACCTAGCTATCTACCTAAGTATCCATCTAGGTATCCATCTATGTATCTAATATCTACGTACGTTTAAGTACTCGCATTACTTATTATATACATCTAGTATTTATGTAGATATTATATGTGACCTTATCTCGCGTGGTTAGTTTGTCCGGTTATAAGAAGGGGCTTCTTCTCTCCCACGTCAGAAGCTTTATGCTCTACGGAAGTTTCTTCTTCTTCACATGCTAAATACCAGAAACTTAACTTTACTTAAACATTTACAAGTTGTAATTGAATATTGAATACAGACAGTACTTTTACCTAGACGACTCTAGAATCCATCGAGTTAGCTCTTCATATACACATTTCTTCACTTCAACACACACACACACTTCTCCAACTTCATCCCAGTGCTGGAACGTTGAATATAAAAACTGATCAAGATGCATTGCTATTGTGCAAACTACTATGTCAGTAGTTCTCGAAATTTTCTCTTAGTGAAAGATGACGTCGTCGTTGACACAGCCAAAACAGGGATCGGTCAATTGCCAGAACAAAGTCGCACATTTCGGCCAGCGATGTAAACTCTGCACAGTACGTCTTTATTCTTATATCCAAGCTAACTAGTATACTGTATGGACTATTTTTTAACTTGAAGATTGAAAATAGGTATTGAATGAGGGTCATCCGGCAAAGCAAGACCTATTCAAGATAACTTCCAACGACTATGCATATGACAGCGAAGCCGCAGACGAGGACGACTCGAGTCCAGAAGAACACGGACACGAGCGGACGAGGGATCATAGCAAGAGCTCTTCGAAGTGAAGTGAAGCGAATCAGATCGATCAAACTACATTAAGACGCTTTGATGCGGTGTTACGATGAACGGAGACGAATACGAAATTTCCAATCATCAGACTAAGACTGGGATCAACGGAAAAAAAAAACTAATAACTTCGAGAAAAACAGGAGAGATAGAGAGAGAGAGAGCAATGGTTGAGCCGTGCTCTCCTTCGCTGCGTTGACGACGGATAATAGAAGTTGAACACAAAAACTACGTAGAGACACGCGCAGCGGTGACAGTTCTCCGAATAGGGCAACTGTTCTCGAATGTCTCAAATCCTTCCTTACGATAGTACGGGGCTGGGTATCATGGGCGTTTTGGGTTGTACGGGTGAACATATAGGCGTACATACATGTACTAGGTTGGGCAGACAGATCAGCTATGGAATGTTCGATGGGAGGGATTGGTAACAGAAACGGGGAAAATGACTTGAGTCGTTCTAATGAGATTCCACCATTGCTTCTTTTTTTCCTTCTCTGCGCTGTCTTAGATCAGGTCGGAGTTTTGCGATTCACATGTGTTGTGACGTGAGCTGTGTGCCGAAGGTAAGGTATGTGCTATGTTAAGGTATATATATTTCTGTGTATGTGTATGTGTATATGTATATATATACCTATGTATGTATGTGTGTGCGCGTGAGGAGTACCTAGTAACTGGGATGGTGGAGATTTGGTGTTACGGGTGGTGGGTGGGACGGAGGTCTTGTGTAAGCGCGTTATGGTAAGTATTGTGTAAGCGATGATGATATGGTGTCTCGGCTGGGATGGATGGCGATGGAGATTTGGATAGTCCACTGAGATAGTTCATATAACCGGGAGCTCAAATATGTCCGCGTCGGGGTCGAGATTCAGGGGTGATGTAGGTACTATACCAATACTAATACTCATCTCTATATGTGAACATGATTCGCATTAGGTTACGCATTCTTAACAGATATACATACATACATACACTGGTATCATCTTGAACATATCTCACCCCATATACTCCTCATACGCCAATATACTATACCCTTAGAGTGGCGACTCAGCTCCAACCGGCATGTTTCACCAACAGTTCCTGTGATCAGCAGCCACCAACATTTAGCTGCAGTCTCACTTATGACCTTGCAGATGCCAGTCGAACACCTTCCTAAACAGCTCCCCGCCATTCTTCTCCACAGTCTCCCCGTGGCACGGCACAATGATCTCGGCTTCCCACGCGTCGATCTTCCGCACGCTCTCGTTGAAGCCCGCACGATCTCCCCCCGCGTTGCTAAGCACGTACCACAGGAACCGCTTCAGCCCCTTTGCTTCCCCCGCCGTGCTGTTAATAGATAGGAATATCCGGTTTAATAAGCCGTGCGAACTCTTCTCGGCCTCGGGAACCCGTGAGTACTGCTCGATAGCAGGTAGGTTGAATAGCAAGTCCGCTTGTATCAGCGCGCGGTCTGGCTTGTAGAATAGCACGACCTCCTTGTTCGGGTGCGCGTCTACAAACTCGACCTCGAAGTCCGCTGCGAACTCGTCGCTGACGCCAGCGACGTCGCGCCGATTCGACGCGTCCCATGTGAGAGCAAAGGGTTCGTGCCCGATGCGGGCGTCATCCTGTACTTTTTCGCGCTTCTCCTGTAAGCCCTTGGGTCCGAGAAGTTTGGCGTCGGGATATGCGCGCGCCCACTCGGATAGGAAGATGTGATGCTCTATATCCCCCGCGATGATGTACCCGACGCGGCCGCCTAGCTCGGCGACTTTGGCTTGCGTCTCGGGGGTTAAGGCTACGGGGGAGTAGACTGCTAGGGTACCGGATGTGAGGCGTACTGGGATTGGTTAGGATATTTTAGGCTCGGAGCCGGAGTTGGAGATTTGCTTACTTATGGTGCCGCGACCACCGACGCGGAAGATGCCGACTCGTGCGAATGGTACAGAGACGGTCACGATATTTGGCGTAATATTCCGAATGACGGCCACATCGCTTGGGTTGGAAGGGACTAATTTAGAAGACATGTTGAGAGAGTGGTTGAGTTGTATTTGTCTTGGTTGTAGCCTCGTTTGTGGGTATAAGGTATGTTTAGTGTTGATTATCGTTAGATAACCTCTATATATTAATTCTTGGTGACGTCGTGGAACTTGTGTGACAAAGAATGTTTGTCTTGATGGTTTACTTATAATAATGGAATCGAGAGTGGGTTTCAATATCCTCAGCCGAGGTTGATAAATATTCATTCTCATAAGTTGGTGTCATTACCTAGGTATAATGAGTATTTGGAATTCAACCTTATGATACTATTTCTAAATATACTTACCTATGTAAATAACCCATGATTAATCTTAGGTGTTACTAAACCCCTCCCCTGTTCAGTAAAGTCTCCTGAAACTGGTCACCGACGTACAGTTGACATCATGGGACCCTCAACAGTGTAAAACATGGTTAAGTTATAGTATAAATGGCGTATAAATTACGATATGCACTGTATAAATTGCTTCACCGGCGGGGAGTGGATTTGTTTTAATTCAAAACTCAATTCCAAATCGGTTCCAATATTATGCTTAAAATACGATCCATTTGTCAGCTCGCATCTTTAGTATTTAGAATATGATATGTCTTCAAAAAAAATAAAAATTTTGACAAATAATCCTGTTAAGTATTTTATGCCAAAGATAGGTACCTAGCTAGATGAAATAACTAAATCAAATTAAACCTCCATTCATACATATACCGCATATCCCGTAGTTCTAACTTGACAAAATGAACCTCGGTTTAGCTCTTAACATCCCAACTAATACTCCAAACATGACCACAAACCCCTTACAAAAACATACATCCTATCCCATACCTAACATTAGGTACATACCTGGGTAGGTAATATATCCTAATTACCTATCTTCATAAAAAACTGACCAGTAAAAAGCGCAATAATAAACTCCCACAGCAGAGCCCACGACGGCCGTCTGAAACAAAGAGCAGACTGGTCTACCGTATTGACGTAGAAAGCTCTCTGCAACGGCGCGTTCGCCGACTTCCAAATCGCCATCTCCCGCGCGTGCGCCAACATCAGCAACACCATCAGAAACATGACCCAGAGGTTCGCAATCGCAACCACGTTCCACCTGTCGCGCCAGAATAGCCCTCTTAGTCCCTGCCATCCATCCCGCCACATCGCGCGCCGGGTTTCGGCTATGACTCGGTTCTGCGTCGCGGTTGCCGTTTCTGCTTCCGCTCGTGCAACAGCGGCTTGAGCCTGGGCGCGCAGGACAGCCGATTCGGCCTCGGCGCGCGCGGTAGCCGCAGCAGCAGCCGCGGCGGCTTCGGCCTGGGCGGCTTCGGCGGCAGCTGTGGTTGCGGCGGCTACTTGGCCGGCTGCCGTCCGTACGTCGCGGGCGTGCTGTGCGCCAACGGCAAATTCGGGCATCACGTCTTCGAACCAGGTGGCCTCCTTGGTGATGGTGTCGATGATGCCGTTCATGCGCTCGATCTCGCGCTCGACGCCGGCGACGCGGCGCCTGGCGAGCGCTGTCTCCGGGGCTAGCGGGTTGCGGTTGATGTCCTCGTTCATGCGGGCCAAACGTTCCGCGTATTGGTCGCGCATCGTGTGGTTCACCGCGAGCTCCTTCTCGAACATATCCTGTACTTCTTGGCTTCGCGCGCTGATCTTCTCGGCTAGCTCCTCCCAGAACGTGGCGAGGGCCGAGCTGATATCGTTGGTGTTGCCCTGCTTTGCTTTGAAGTCGGCGGCAAGCTTCTTGATGCGGGCTGCGTGATCGGCGATCATGCGGCGCGTTTCGCGCTCGTGTTCTGCAGTTTTGGCGAGTGCCTCTCGCCTCAAGTTTTTGAGCGTTTCTTCGAGCTGGGCGCGGGCTTCTTGCTCGGCTTTGAGGTCTCTTTCCGCTTGTGTGAGGAGCCGGCGGAGCTCGTTGATTTCGTCTGCTGATGGGTTCTTCGTAAGGTCTTCCTGTGCTTTAGCAAGGAGCCGGCGTAGTTCGATGATCTCGTCTTCCGATGGTTTTTTCTTGAGCTCTTCCTCCGCTTCATCGAGGAGACGACGCAGTTCGTTGATCTCGTCTTCCGATGGTTTTTTCTTCAATTCTTCTTCTGCTTCAGCGAGGCGGCGGCGGAGCTCGTTGATTTCGTCTTCTGATGGGTTCTTCTTGAGGTCTTCCTGCAACTGTTCGAGCTCTTGCTCGAGTTGTTCGATATGCTTTCCGAGTTGAGCTTTTTCTTTCTCGCACTCCTCGACTGCGGCGTCAAGTCCGGCCGCCGGGACGACCGTCGGGGTGGTTGCTTTACTCCCAGGGCCTCGCTGAAGCCTCTTAATCTCGGCATTTGCCTTGTTAAGGTCGTCCTCGGCCTTTTTGAGCTCTTGCCCCTTGGCCTTGGCTTGGGATTGAAGCTCCCTCTCGCGTATTGCGAGGGTATTTGCTTGGTCCTCGAATGGCTTGAGGCGAGTGACTTCCTTGTTGAGTTCGTCGATCTTAACATTGGCCTTCTTTAACTGTGCCTGGAGGTCGTCGCGCTCTTTTTGGACTTGCTTGACTTCTATTCGCACACCGGCCAATTCCCCGTTAAGATCCACAATCTGCGCATCAAGTTGCAAGATATTTTCTCTATCTTTTTCAGCCTCGAGTTCATTGCCTAGGTTACCTGCCCCCCTTTGTGATGCGTCCGATGAGGTCCTCGTACTCCTGACGCTTCCGCTCCTAAGTCTGGTAAATTCGGCTACTTTTGTCTCGAGCGTCCCTATCTTTCTTTCTCTCTCATCCAACTCATTCTTGAGTTCTTTTTCTTTCTCTTCATTTGCAGCAACCTGTTTTTCGGCCTTTTCCAGTTCCCTAAGGACAGAACCTAACATTTTATTTGCCTTTTTCAATTCCTCATCCTTTTCATCGTGTTGACGTTTCTGCTCTTCCCCCCAGTTCTTTTCTTGTTTCAAGTCTACATCTCTCAGCCGCATATGCTCCCGTATTCGCTTGAGCTCTTTATCGTCAAGCTTCTTTTGCTCGGCCAGTTTTTTAAAGTTTTTATCTAGTTCGTTAAAGTCACGGTCTTTTCGTGCTATGAACAGTTTATTCTCGTTCTCTATATCTCTTATGTTTGTTTTCAACGCTTGGATCATGTCGTCCTTTTTAAATTTTTCAGTCTCAACAAGGATTAACTGATTTTGGTGTTCTTTTTTAGTCTCGGTCATTGCATGATCGTATTTCTCTTCAACGTCGAGCAATTCGGTTTTCAACGTCGAAGTGGTCTCTTCAGCTTTCTCTTTGTCCTCTACTGCGAAATGGAGCCTTTCTTGAGCGGTTTTTAGAGATTCTTCCAGAGCATCGTGTCGCACCTTAGCCAAGTCGGGTACCAAGCTATTCAACAACTCATGTATAATGCTCTCGACTTTGGCTTTATCGAAATCGGTATTAAAACTAACTGCTTTCTCTTTTTTAAGCAGTCTATCATGTAGCTGTGCAGCAACAGATTTGAGATCTGCGTCCCACGAAGGTCCGGCTGCTTGCGCCATGGCGATGCTATGTGATGTTCTCAAACAACAAAATAGGAAACTTACGGGTGCACATGGCGGGGTGGAAAGCTTGCCCGAGTTTAGCAGGACTTTTGTTCGTATTACGACACAAAGAAGGCAGCATCAAAAGTCTGCGTCCGGCGGTGTTGGGTATTATGGCTTTGTCTACGTGTCCATGTGAATTTCTATGTGTATTCAAGTGCTTAACAGCTTGCTAAATTATCAGCGCATAACATTAAGCGGAATATATCGTCCCTTGGACTCGACCTCCAGTCTCTTCTCAAATCCGGTAGATTTCTTTCACATCATTATTAGGCTACCGAAAACGGAGGACAACCCGTTTCTATCGAGGACGTAGTATGTATAAGTAGCATAGAAAACGATCCTCTAGTCTGAAAGCCCTAGAATGGTATATTTATGTCTGGTAGGTTGCCCCGAATTGGATCACAATCCTTTATAAGTTAGGGACCTTTTATATGGATAATATATGGATAATATATCTAGTGAAACGCGTAGTTTCTACTAGCCCTATTGATTCTAATCAGTCCGATCGAATTTATTTGTGATATTAAGCAAGCTAGGTGGCATAATAGCGTATCACCTAGTCAACTCTTATGATGATTTGTGCCTTGTTCGTTACCGTTACAATCGTGGGTCCCTCTCATCAGGGGTAACAGGTATCTATCATTTACAGGACAGTAATGGAGCAGTCAAGTGCTTATAAAATAGTTATATTATTGGAGATATATCCAAGTTTTTAATTTGTAAAATCTTGTTTACTCGTAGCTTCTGGACATGTCTATCCTTATAAAGACTGTCATTGATGATCGGAGAGCGAGTAGTAACTATACCACTACCATATAATTTCACGCAACATCACGTCATTCTAAACTGCATATAAATGACTTAACTCACATTCGAGAAAGCTATGGGAATCTTGGAAAATATTCGTTTCTTGTTATAGATACGCTATAACAAGAAAAATAAAATTACTGGATTCTACCAGGGACATCGACATTGGGAATATATACACAAAACGCCGCCTATGATTTAACAAAGCAACTCACTTGGAACGAATAACTTATTACTTGGGCCCATTCCTCTCAGCAGCTAACCCGATGTGCTTCGAGTGTAGCTCCTCGACGGCAGGTATAATCAAACTTTCAATCTCCATTTCGGGTTCGCCCTCTGGTAGAGTCGCCGGATCTAACGGCTTATTCTCTCCACTCTTTTGGTCTGATGCGCCGATCAATTCCTCGACGCCGCTCAACGTCTTCTTGCGCCGGTTGATGGGGACGCGGATCCACTTATCCTTTTGGTTGGGCGCTACGAAGACGACCTCCCACTTTCGCGTCGACAGCAGGTTTCCGATAACGAGATGGTGCTGATACCGCTCGAGTGAGTACTTGGCCTTATGGACGAGGATCGCTGGGTTAGTCTCTAGCTTGAACGAGACAATCATACCCTCGGGCGCCCAGCCGTCTACGAGATTTTTGAGGAATTTAGGCACAGGATCTAGATCGACGATAAGACGCTTGCTCCGCGGCACGGTTGGTGATGAGTCAAAGTTGTCGAACGCTTCCTCTTCTTGGTTCGACGAGTCCCTAGCCTCCTTTGTGACTGTCGTCGGCCCTTGTTTCTTGAGCATGTCTGTGGCATCTGTGCTTTGAATCTTATGTTCCGACATGCGATCTTCCGGTACAAAGAAATCGCTTACTGCCGCGGCTAGATATAATAGGCCGTTAGGACCCAGTGGGCGCATGAGCTGTGCTACTGCGCGTAGCTCGTGTAAATAATCGGTGATAGTAACGAACGGGAGCATCAGTAGGAGATTCTGTCGCTTAGCAGCGTTATATTTGCGTAGCACACGCAGCATCTTGTCTTGGTGCGACGGGTTAGCGACGACACTGCCATCTGGGTCCTCATGCAGAAAGTCTAGGAAGCAGTCTGTAGAATGACTATAGTGCCGACTGTATGGGAGTAAACTGAACTGTCTATGCATGAAAATAACAGCATATCCAGACTCTAGAAAATACTCAGCCGACGTGGCACCTCTTGTTCCGGCGCTGAAGTTATCAATAAAGCGTACTGTTTGCTTTTCGAGGGGCACGGTAGTCCCGCCTGAGGTGACGAGAACGACTCGCCTGTTAGCCGCCGCATGTTGATTTATAAACGATTCAGCGGCCGCAACATGTTGCGGTAAAGCCTTGGGGGGTGGGTTAGAGCTGAAGTAGGCATTTTCAACCACTTGGTCCGATGAAGCAGATGTATTAGTAGTGCTGCTCGACATGGTGTCCTGACTTGAAGTGGAGGATATAGATGGCGACCTAGTAGAAAAGCGAGATTCTGATAGATTAAATGCGAGACTCAAAGGATGTGATAAATCTTGTTCTTTTCTAAATAAGTGTTTGTTCTGGTGATCTAAGTCTAAGGTCTGTGACGCCATTGTGTTAGTAATAATAGGATCGATCATGGTAGAGTGATGCAGCAATGAAGCGAATCGTCAACGTATAAGAACGTATAGGTTTATGGATGAATATATGTAGGTAAGTAGAGTAGATATAGAAGTCACAGGCTCTTATTATGATAAGAATATGTGAGCTAATTACTGGACAGGGGATACAATCGTAGCATGCATGTGCTACCGAAGCTGGCGCGGCATGTGGCAACTGATACATGTAGTAATCACCGGCACTCCGGGTGATTTAGATGAGGTGAGACCGAAACCTCGGCCCCCGGCTCCCCCCCGGGTCAGCCGTGTGGAGGGCCGCTTGTCCGGCTTGATTGCATTAATAGAAAGGAAAACAACGTAAAGCACCGGTTACGGATTACATTACAAACTTATAACCCTATATCACGAGTAAATAAAGATAGACTTACTATAGGAATAACCTCGTGGCTGAACAGCCGAAGTGAGTCTTATCGGTAATGTAGAAATTGCCGCAAAAAAATCGGTTGAGGGTTTTTGGTGAGATGAGACTTGTTAATACGTATCTCTGGGATGATATTTCGGAGATAGATATGCACGATCATGCAGCAATGAACCACACATAAATATAGTAAGCCCCAGCTAGCCGTCTTGGATGAGAGATTATAATTGTATAGTATGGTATGGCTGTATGGCTGTATGGTTGGTTGTATGGGTCGTCAACAAGTTTAATCATCAACAATTAAACTTCGACTTCGTCTTCGTCGCTGACGTGAGTTAATTATGTGGGGTTATGCATCGGATGAAGGGAGATCAATATCGAAGCTTAGACCCCAAGAGAAACCCAAGAGAGAGGAATGGGGTTTCGTGCGGAGATCCCTGCAGCCCTTTTCATTTTTACTTTAGGTACGAAGTACATCCTTGCTAACTAACGCTATTATGAACCTTATTCTATTATTATGTATACCTATTCGTACCTACCTAAGGTACATATCCTATGCTCCACTTCACATGTATCAATATAATTTTTCTCAACATTCACTTATATGCAAATATTAACCTTAATATATCGCTTCAACCTTGTCACTTCAATTCTGTATTCCAATTTTCTTCTTCTATTTGTCTGTGTAGAGATAATCATAATTATTAATCCTCGAGTCCGACGCTCGCTTGTCTAAGACCACCTCTTAGATATTCTAATATGACCTTACCCATTAACCTCCAATCCTTAGAACCCCCTTCGTAGCGGAGATACGCATATGTATAGACAAATATACAGAAACCCCAAGTATCTACCAAAATACATACAATGTTCATTAACCAATTTTTCTAATAATCCCATAACTTTTCCGGTTCCCCTCTATATTTATTTGTGCCGTACCCCAAATTTTTATTCCCAAAACCGGCCGGATACCAGATACCGAGGAATTTGTTTCGAGGTACTCAGCCTTTCATGCTACCCAAGGTCATAGAAAACCTTAGATAGCCAAATTCGCCTTAGCTAGAAGTTAGCCCAAAGTGACCATCCCACTTTCTCCGCCCTGGCCGCGTACATAGCGACGACAGAAATAACCTGGGTAAGCCCTGTAAACACGATAAGACCCCAGTAGTTACCATCAGCGGCCTTGACGATGGAACCTGCAATAGGAAGGCCGAGTAGGACTGCAATAGAAACAATAGTGTAACAGGTAGCATAATATCTACCGTAGTTCTGCGTTTGGCATAATTTTCCCACGCAGACTGGAGTAATGCTGATGTTGTTGCCCGTCGAAAACCCAAACATGACGGCAAATATGACGAGCCCAGGAGTCGTGTGGCCGAACGGCAACCACACAACATAACACGCGAATATTGTGGCGCAAAGGGAGATCATATTCGTGTTGAAGGCACCGATTTTATCCGCCCACCAACCGGGCAATGCACGTCCAAACACCGACGCCGCATTGAGAATAGGCAAAATCTGGAATGAAAAGCTTTCACTAAAGCCGTTCGCGAGTGCGTAACTCGAGATGTAGGCGAGCGGGATAAGAAGCCCGAACTCCAGGAAGAAAACGCCGATGGTAAGGAGTAAAAATGACTTTTCCTTTAGAATGCGAAAGTCCGGATGCGGGCTTGCGTTGTGAGCCGGAGGCAACCGTCTCTTAACTAAGAGACCGGCAAAAGTAAGTAGGAAAAGGCAAATAAAACCTAGGATGCGGATTGTCCATCCCCATCCCACCCTGTCGAAGAGACTTTGCATTATTAATGGGAAAATTACGCCGCCTAGTCCACCGCCCGTACTTGCGAGCCCGGAGGCGAACCCACGGCGCTCATGGAAAAAGTGACCAATGGCTGTGAGACACGGAGTGAATAGAAATGATGTCGCTATTCCATTAAGGATGCCCCAGCAAAGCATAAAATGCCAATATTCTAAACGAAGTCAGCATGCATATTCTCCATAAGGTAAGATGGAAAGAAAAGGGGGAACATACCTGTACAGATGCTCAGCAGCATAACACTTGCGACAACGATTATACCACCTGGCCCAACTAACCATCTGGGTCCGTATTTATCAAAAAGCGGTCCGATATACACGCCGCAGAGAAAACACAATGCTGTATACAAAGAAAAAATCCATCCAACGATACCCTCGTCGTAGTTAGAGAGCTGGTGCGTCGCAACGTACGTCTGGAGTGTTGCAATGCTGTTCATCAGCCCTAACGAGGCAAGAAGACCACACCATGATCCAAAGACGACAATCCATGCCTCTAGCCCTCCTTCTGGATATGTTTCATCTCCGAGGAGGGTCTCACGCCCGGTGTTAGTATTAGTTTTGTCGACGGTCTGCCCATAGCCCTGTGCATACAAATCAGGCTTCTGGTTTGCATCGAAGTATCCTTGATCCTTTTCAAGATAAGCCGAATCAGGGGTTTCTGTGGCAGGGGTCTGTTGTGGGAATTGTTTGGCTTTTTCTATATCTTCCATTGCGCCGCCGATTCTATCTTATACATAGGCAAGACTGGTGTTATCGAATGGCATTGAAAACCATTAAGAATCATGATTTCTCTTAGTTGGGCACGTCCACAAGCTTTTTATAGTAGCCAGGTGCTCGGGGATCCAATGTTGGCACATTTTAACATCGATGACTATCTGGGTCCACATTAGCGTTCGATCTCGACCGAAGCCCAGGAACATCAAGGTTACCATCCGTCCTCGGAGGCAACAGACCGCACTTTTCCAACCCCGCTAGAACCCACTTTGGCCAGTCGTCGAGCGGCAAGGTGTGAAAGACGTGATATCGCACTCTTTTTGCATATAGATTACGTCTCGAAAATTCGTACTACACAACCGCTAGAGATCCATTCACCTCCACAAAACCTTTAAACTACCGGTCTACCCCTGGCCGGAGTGATACCCAATGCTCCAGACTTAGGTATCTAGAACCAACAGACCTTTTGATAAGCTATTATTCTTACCAGGAATCGTCTTTGGCTGCAGGCACCAGCGACGAAGGGACGGCACGACCCTCCTTCATGAAGCAGGGGAACACTACCTAGGTTGGATTTAGCCAAAGCGTAACAATCAAGCTCTGCACTTTATCAGCACTCATAGCGTTTAGCTAAAAAAAACCGCCGCACTTTCAACTAATAGGAACGGACCCGACTCTGACGGCCACCCGCGAGAATAAGTTAGATGGTTATTGAATTTCGATAGGCTCAATCTTGATCGTCTTCCACTTCCTCCATCGAAACTTTTTGGGGCCCTGTCGTTGTGGTGAATTCTGACGCGTCATTTTGGGTTAGAGTAGTTTTGAGGTAGCCTTCTTTCTCTAAACGGTCTGCTTCTTCAGGCTCCATTAGACCACCGTGGCCTTTGCTCTTTTCCATCTTCATCCGAACTGCCGTGGGCACGAATGCGCTAACGGCTTCCTTACGCAAATCGCGTACTATCGGTTTCGATTCATATACCGTCTTAGATTCTACCGGCGCGGTTGGCGGCGGTTGCCTGTCTTGACCGCCCAGCGGTGTATCGTTTGCATTTCGTGCCGCCCTGCGTTTCGCATACCATTTGTCTAGTATCTCCTTCGGAATTGGTGGCGGCGTGTCTCGCGGCATAGGGATACTTTTGACATCGTCTGGCACGTCGCTATCGCTGCTTAGACCGTCATCACCGCCTCTTCTTCGCTTGCCCAGCACATTATTGTTCCCTTGACCGTCGCCTCTGAAGCCACTGCTACGGCCAAAAGATGGCGCCTTGTCACCCAGTGCTTCCCTAGCCTTATTAACCGATTTCAGGTCGCGTTCCAATCCTTCTAGTACCGATTCTTCGTACTTGGTGAGTTTGCCGCCGCTAGAGGTAATCTTCTTTAGGTCATCGATCTGCTTCTGTAATCTCTCGGGGTTTCGCTTTGCAAGCTTCTCATTTCGGCGGGTGGCGGCTTCTGCCTTGCCTACAAGTAGACAGTTAGTAGGTGTTCAATATCGTCAAAAGTCATGATGGCGATACGCAATTACCTTTCTTGAGTGCTTTAGCCTTGTCAGCTTTGCGCTGGGCCTGCACCGGGTTGAAATTCTTCTCCTTCGGCATGGTAGTCAGACAACAAGGTATATACAGCTACTGCGGAAAGATTGATGGTCGTTAGAAACTGCGTTACATTTCAGCATAAATCGAGTGGAAACGCGCCGTTTGGGACAGGGAACATTGAAGTAGGTACGGAGGTAGTTATGAAATATGGGTTCTTGCAGGATATTTCAGCCTTGTGCAGCGCTATTGCATCACATCAATGCACAGTGTGATATTCGAATAATTTAAACGGTATTACTATTCCCCATCGATGATAAGACGAACTAAACGATAAGCAGATAGCCGGGCAATCAGGACGATTCCAACAGGGTGGCTTGAAATTGACAGGGGATAGCGCCAGGGCAGCCGAGTCTATTCTAGGTTAGGTGCATACGGTACGTACATACTGGGTAGCCAACCGTGGCACGTAGCCGTAGCACGGTGCACTAAGCAAGGGGGTTAAGGGAAGGAAAGATCTCAGCAACCAGGTGCGTTTCGTAGTTTAGCGGCTGCCGGGGTGACAATGTTGACTTTTGACAATTACATAGTACATATCTCGATTTACATAATTTGATCTATTATTGTGTCTAGTTATTATTATTGTTCCCCAAGAATTCAAGACCCCGCCATCCTCTCATTGCAGCCCAATTGCGAACGTATCCCACCTTTCATTCTTCCAACCGGCATGTAATAAAAACAAGCATCATTTGGTTGTTAGTGATCAACCATCGTGCATGGAGTTTGGATCTTTCTTCTTGCATCTTGCATAATCCCTCGAATGAGAATTGGTCTTATACTTTATCAATTGGATCCATCTTCATCTTTCTGTTAACTGCTCCCACAGTGAGCCCCTCCCTTGCCCCGGGCTTCGTGTTTATTCGATTGTCTTTCGACGCTTCAACACCAGAACTTACTATAATCTTTTTCATTGGTGTCCTCAGCTATGGCAAGCTTCCTTTCCACCATGTTTCCCTCTCCAGGTCCAAAAGACGCAAAGTCACCCATTTCAGACCTTCCAGGTACGCCGACCAAGAATACATTCATCACTCCCGTCTCGACACCTCAGGGTAGCCCGAGCAAAAAGACGATACCTCCAGGAGCCAACGAACTTCCTACTACATTTGATGCATTGAAACTCAACCCTGTTTCTCTCGATAGCCCTGTCCGACTTGGAAGACCTCAGAACGGAGCTAGCCCTCTATCGCCAGCCAAAAGCAACATCCAACCAGCTGATGATGGATACTTTCCGACTGCATCCCCCACTGTGGATAACAGTATCGTTCATAAGACAGGGGAGCCCGCGGGAACTCCCTTAAAGAAGCAGGGACAGGAGAACACGCCACCGTCTAGAATCCCGGTACGAGACTCCGTCTATCAGCACAACCAAGCTGCGATATCACGTGCAGAACTCTACCAGCTTCGAGATTCTCGGCCAATAACGCCTACGACTAAGAGATTTAACACATCTCGCGGTCTTACTCCTGAAGAAATGGAGCTTCTGAAGAAGCCCAACGTCCGCCGTCTAGTTAATGTCACGCAATTGTGTAAGATTATCTTGCCTAGTTAACCATGTTTACACTACTGACCGCTTGAAGACTTCCTAGACTACTATTTCGACCTGCTCACTTATGTCGGTGCCAGACAATCACGGCTAAACGCCTTTAAGGCTGAGGTACCAGCGCCTCCGGAAACTGATCAAGAAGAATACAACCAGTTGTGGCAGAGGTACACTGGTAGAGAGCGGGCAAATCTCCGCAAGCGTCGCATACGCCTTCGACAAGGTGATTTCCAAATCCTAACCCAGGTTGGTCAAGGAGGGTACGGGCAAGTGTTCTTAGCCCAAAAAAAGGATACCAAGGAGGTATGCGCCTTGAAAGTCATGAGCAAGAAGCTGCTCTTTAAGTTGGACGAGATCCGCCATGTCCTCACGGAAAGAGATATCCTTACCACTGCCAACAGCGAGTGGCTCGTCCGCCTCTTATACTCGTTCCAAGATGACAAGAATATTTATCTTGCCATGGAATACGTACCTGGTGGAGACTTTAGAACTCTCCTCAACAACACGGGCGTCTTATCCAACCGTCATGCTCGCTTCTATATCGCTGAGATGTTCTGCTCTGTGGATGCACTTCACAAACTGGGTTATATCCACCGAGATTTGAAACCAGAAAACTTCCTTATTGATTCCACTGGTCACGTCAAACTAACCGACTTCGGCTTGGCGGCTGGCAATGTTGCATCGTCAAAGATCAATTCGATGCGTATCAGACTCGAGAAGGCTTCTGAGACTACTGTGCCGTTTGGTAAAGCTATGGATAAACGAACCGTGGCAGAGCGCCGAGAGGGTTATCAAACCATGCGTGAGAGGGACACGAATTATGCGAAATCCATAGTAGGATCACCAGATTACATGGCTCCGGAGGTACTCCGCGGCGAGGAGTACGACTACACTGTCGACTATTGGAGCCTGGGATGCATGCTATTCGAAGCCCTCACCGGATTTCCTCCCTTCGCAGGCTCTACGGCCGATGAGACGTGGCATAATCTAAAGCATTGGAAAGAAGTGCTTAAGCGACCGGTCTGGGAGGATCCGAACTATTTCTTAAGTACTCGTACCTGGAACTTTATCACTACGTAAGTTTCGCGCGAGTATTGGGATGAAAAATAAGGCTAACTGGTTCTAGGTGTATCAATTCGAGATCCAAGCGATTTTCCAATATTAAGGATATCTTCGAGCATCATTATTTTGCCGAAGTAGATTGGAACACCCTTCGAGAGTCGAAAGCCCCGTTTGTACCCGAGCTGGATTCCGAGACGGATGCAGGGTACTTCGATGATTTCACCAATGAAGCTGACATGGCCAAGTACAAAGAAGTCCACGATAAACAACAGGCTCTTGAAACCATGGCCGATCGAGAAGAGCAAATGGGCAAGGGCCTCTTCGTTGGATTTACGTTCCGTCATCGAAAGCCTACCACGGAGGACGGCAGCCCACGGAAGCGGATCCAGACTGACGAGACGTTTGGCACGATGCTCTAGGGTAGGCGTTCGCTGTCTAAATTCAAGAGGCGGTGACCCACCTCGTTTTAGGTTGACAGTTTTGTTGTTCGCCGCCACATAATATCCACATGATTTGATGGTGATGGGTAGTTTTTAGACGATACCCGAGATATCGTCACACGATAACGTGGTTAATGCCACCTTTTCTTTGTTTTTCGGTCAGTGGCTCCTCGAAGAGCTATTTATTAATTCCAACAAGGGCGTTTTCAGGTCTCATGCATATTATATTAGGAGTTTTACTGAGGGGGTTTAATGGAGGGTATACGCGTCTAATCCCGGCACGGTTGTTCCGAGGGAAGCCATAGGGCTTCGACGTCGAGAGGCAGGGGAGTAGCACCAGTCGTGTACAACAGTGTCGCAATAGACTGCTTTTATTTCAGCCTCAGGTATAGCCTACTATGTACCATCTTTGTTGCCCTGTAAATTTTCTTTCCCGATGAGCATATGCTTACGTCTTCAATATTGAAACGTCGAATGTGATCGGCAGACTACACGTCAGTCTTTGATATGGGTATTCCAGGCTTTCTATAATGAAGAAGCTTGCTTTCAGATGTGTAAAAGCTCGATTGTACAATACTGTTTACTAAGAGATTCAAGTCGAGCTTTGAAAGAGAAAACGTTCGTCATGAAATAGACAAGGTTAAATCTTGTCTAATTATATTTAGGAATCTCTAAACTTAAATGCGAAGCAGGGGAATTGGTAGAAAGCTGAGAGTACAAGAGAATGGTAAGCAAAGGAAGCCCGCGTGGTTTCGGGACCGGAAAGCTGTCAGACTTACCCATTTGAGGACTACCAGACCACCGAGATGACCGCTGATTGGTCATAAATATGCTTCACCAAGCTCTCGGACGTCCCCAATACTTAACCCCGCGCAAACAAGCCTCCATTTACAAGACACAACCTGGCACTGACGAAGCTTCATAGTACTCAGCCACCCAATTCCTAGTAAACGAGAGTAAGTGATCGAATGTATCCACGTTTGATCCAAGATCGTACTATGTATGCCGTCATACTATGTGAACTAGGTGCAGGGAAAGTCGATCGACAAGTTGTCTTGCATTTAGTTGCCTTAGACACAAGTTGGCTACATCTCACGGTATACTCGGCGATATTCTGCGTATTGATAGGCCGAACATAGGCGATTACGACTCCTACGGCACCGGCAAGCCTGGAACTAATACATATAGCCAGTCCAGCTTACGCGACCTACATGGTACGTACGTCGTGGCTCTTGTAGGACAGCATATCCCGAGCCGATCCTCTACCAACCATGTTCACGCTATCTTCCCCAGATATGGTCGTACATAGACGCTATGCATTCTCTTGTCTTGTAGGTGGAGAGCTGCTGCGTGGACGCGCGGCTTCAGCTGGGCTCACGCGTGCAGGATCGACTTGGGCAGCGCGATGGACTAGGGAAGAGAAAGCTCTTCTGGAAGCTTACACTTCCCGCCGCGAAACTCAGCCCGAACTTGTCCTAACCTTAATCTTTTTTTACATTTCTTTCCTTTTCCCCTTCTCCACCCCCGAGCCAGGGTATGTAGGTAGGTACCTAATGTATGTAGTGGCCGAGCCAATGTTCGCAAGTGCGTACTTGGAGAGGAGAAGAGAGTAGAGAAATGACCACACGCGCCGAAAATTAAGAGTACCTATGCAGGACGGCAAGCAAACAAGCATGCGAATAGATAGACAAAGATAGGTAGGTGAAGGTGAGGGCGATGACGAACGGTCTTCGCAGCCCTGGTGTTGGACATATTAGTCTTGGTTACGTGATAGTCCTTGACATACCGCATCCACTAAGAAACAATTCATTCTAGGGCACGGACCACGGGCTTCAACTACACTATATTTGTAATGGCCTAAACCTCATCTGGCTTTCGCTAAAGCACCCCACAACAAGATGTGCTCAAATCATTGCCAAATATCGTATAGTTGATTACTGTGGTCCGTGCCCTAGAATGAATTGTTTCTTAGTGGATGCGGTACATGGCACAAAAGTCTCGATTGCTGACCCGTCCGGTCTTTGTTCGGCTACCCAGAGATAGCTACCGGTGAGAGAAGCATATAAGTATATGCTCTCGTGTTTTCTTCTCGACTTTGTATGCTTTCTTTGGTTCTTCCTATCTCCACGTGCTTTGGTATCTTCTCATGTGTACTCGAGAAGGCATCTTGGCATCTTAGAGTAAGCACCGTTATTGCTAGAATATAGGAAGTGGATATACCTTCGTTCGTACATACATACCGGCTTATACGAGTCCGCTTGAGGAAGATGAAGACATCAACCGTCGCCATCGTTTTGGCACCTGCGGCTGCTTCTGCGCAGTGGTGGAGAGGTGCTCCTGGTTGTGCTGTGAGTTATTCTCTTTCTACTCTTGCCTGCTCCTCGTAGTCCACCTGCTCACTGTACCCATTTCCTCCTACTGTATACAACCTCCCTGCTTTACCCACTCCCTATCTAGCTACACTCCTTTATAATATATTCATTTCGACCCACTAACATCTCCCCCCTAAAGCAATCCTGTCTCTCTTCCGCCTGGTCTAGCCCAACCGCCACTGTAACTAGCGACTGGCCTGCGCAGTCTGAGTACTGCGATTCGGACCACGGCAGCAGCATCAACTCGTGTATCAGCAGCGCGTGTGCCACGTCATCCTCATCCACCGCCTTCGAGTCCTATACCTCGCTCTCCAGCTCCCTGTGTTCCCAGTACTCTGAGTGTACATCTGCTGGTAGCACCGGCGTACGCACAGTCACGTACTCGGGCGGACCGGTCACCTGGGCTGCGCCAGGAGGCTGGGGCGGCGGCGCAAAGGCGTTCGGTGGCCCCTTTGGTAACGGCAATGGGCCCCCTAATGCGTCAGCCATTTCGTCTGCGGTCGACTCGTATAGACAGTACTGGAGCGAGTGGGCGTCAGCCTTCCAGTCGTCGCGCACGTGGACCGGTGGCGTGGCTACCGTCACGGGCTGCGCGTTCGACGGGTCCCCGTGGTTTGTCGGGCCTGGGTGTGGTTGGAACGGGCTAGGCGGGTTTAACGGCTGGGTTGGTTGGGGATCGGGCTGGAGCTGGGGACCGACGACTACGGAGACAGTTACGTTTACGACGACTGATACTGCTGGCGCTACAACGACTGGGACGGGACTTGCGGCTGTGGCGCTAGCTGTGAGCGGCACGCTGACTACGTCCACGACGCTGGGGACACCAACGGCAACGGATGGCGCGGAGAGTGGTGCGGCGCCGGTGGGGATGGGACCGGGGGCTGAGGGCTCGGTTGTTACGGGTATGATGGGAATTGCGCTGGGGGCGATATTGGTTGTTGCTGGTATGCTATAAGGGAACTTTCTATATTTATATACGTACCTCTTGCCGAATATAGGGGCCAGGTTTACTTAGTTAGACTGGTCTTTAGAAGCATGTCTTATGCGAGCTTCGTTCTTTTGGGAATGATAAGGGGAATGAGATGGCGTCTTGGGTATACGAATGGAGTTTTGCTATTTTGACAGGTATAATACAAAATGAGGCATTCAATGTATGGAGCTATTTATAATGCGATAGGAAGAAAAATGATTAATAGTTAGTTACCTACACTTAGACTACGTAAGAATAGTCGGTCCAATGTACAATTAATTATATTGGCTTCTTCTGTAGCGGTTCTTCTTTACCGGATATCTATCTAGGTAAAGGAAAAGCATGGAGAACAACGCATGATATTATTAGCTTCACTACCTACGATACGTTACCCTACGCCTCGTGCTCATCATCCGATGGGAACAGAATACTCGTTCCAACCGTATCCGTCGATACAGGAGAAATTTCCGGACCTTGTGCCTCATTACCGCCGTTAATAGGCCAGTCTTCTTCTCCCACCGTGTAGATGGTGTCCCTGTTCGATCGAGAGCCAGATTGTCCCGCGGGTGTGCTAGGCGGCAACAGCTGCATTCCTACTTCTCCTATTCCTTCTCCACTCGTTTCCTGTCCAATTCCTACCAAGCCTTCTTGTCGAGAATCCCGAGAATCCCTCTGTGCTCGCGGTATCGTAGGGGAGTCCTTCAGCGGTGGCTCTGGGGTTTCTACCGCTCCCGAATCTTGGCATGCTGACCCCACAAGCCCAAGGGGTAATACCATAGGCAATGCGGCGACGCGAATACCTTCTTTCTTCTTGCCATCATCATGCTGGCCGTGACTAGACTTTACTCTCGACGCGGGTGTAGGAGTGAAGTGTACTGGATTAAAACCTCGCTGCTGCTGTCGTCGAGGCGGCGTAGGGGGTAGCGGCATAGAAGGGGGTCCGCTGGCCGGTGGCTGGAACGTCGTAGATACCTTGCGTCTGTGCCAAGCACGATCACCAAGGGTGGCTTCGGGACGGGCAGCCGGTGCTGGGCTCGATACGCTGGGCTTGGCGTTGAAATCGAAATCGAACTGGCCGGCGGATGCTGCCGATGGCGTTAGGGGTTTCGGGGGATTTCCTCGCCACTGGACTGACGAACTTGTTGCAGACGGAGGCGGGCTGGATGGCGAGGGAGTCACCGCTGATCCAGCAGGGCCGGCGCGGACTTCGTCCATCAGTTTGTTGTATAAAGTGTCACTTCCAGAGGTTGGCAATGAAGCTGTCGTGAGACGTGCGGCGTGGTCAGGATGACGGAGGCGGGTACCAGACTCGAGAGCGGGTGTGGAGGGTACCAAGTATGTGCCGTCTGTTGATGCGCCAGTACTTAAATCCTCATCTCTTTTACCATGTCCACGTTCATAGCCGCCTCCGGCGATAGGGCCGGTTCCTTTGTTCAGATCACGAAGTTGATGTCCTGTAGTATCGATCGCGCTTGGGACTGGTCGACGTGGCAGTTGATTGTTATTGTCCTCGTGCTGCGTCCCGGGTGTAACTACAACCTCTGTATCTGCGGCCTCCTGGAACTTTTTCCGCTTATAGGCTCGGACACATAGAACTATGAACGCTGCTAGGATGATGGCGCCCGAGACACTACCTGTGATCGCGGCGATGGCAGGACCAGTGGTCGGCGCATCAGGAGAATCGGATGGCGTTGGTGATGGAAGAAGCGATGACGAGGGTAGAATTGCCTTTCCTGATGTCTCCTGTGAATCTCCTAGGGTTCCGGTTTCTGTAGGCCCTAAGCCATCTGTAACTTTGAGAGCCGCACTCGTATTGAGAGTATAAGATAGTGAAGTTCCTGTAAGAGTGGCGGACCCGCTCTCGTCTCCTTTCTCGTCGCACTTACTGCTATCCTGGGTTTTGTCATGACTTGTAACCTTGTCGCTCTCGCTGGCAACGATGAGAGTATATACGGCGACCGTATCCGCTCCTCCACATGATAGCCCTGAATCACCAGTACAAGGCATGTTGCAATCCCCAAGAGTAAGCTTACGAGCCTCTGCCACAAGTTTCAACCCGCAGAGGCACTCTCTGGTACACGATTCATTAGTATCATGCATACAGGTAGAATAGTTCAGAAATTGTTAGTAACGCAGCAGGATAGGGTTGTTTACCTTCCATTACTTAGTCCAACGAGTCCATAATGATCAGAAGTCTTCTTGGGCGGGTCCAACTCATCACAACCTTCAAGGCAAGCTCGTATCGTCAACTGGTCATCAGGCACCGTAGCTAGGACGACATAGTCCCCTTCTTTTCCGAAAAGATTTCCTTTCGATTTGCCGGGCCCGGGCCCTCGGCCGTAGCACCCCAATAACGAATACATCGAATCTGGTGGTGCTGCAGCAGGGTTGTATGCTATTGTTGTTGTGATCGTGGTGGTTGAGATGTGGACGATGGGTGAACCTAGTATTCCCAGTTCTGAAGTGCTTCCACCTGTCCATTCATTGTCACATCTTGATTGAAAAAGTAAACCAGCCCATAACAAAGTTTGAAGGCAGGTCCGCTTAAAATTACAGTCCGCCGAGACTATTGCCAACATCGTCCTGACGATGTGTATGTATTTTGTAATGAGCCATTATGCCTAAGTACCCAAGTAGAGCAGCATATTTCGATAAATTCCCGTCAGTCCCCATCGCCGCTGAGTCGACCTATACACAAAGGGACTTTTGGCAGCACCAAGTTGAACAAAGAGCCTTGCCTCGCTTGCGGCTTTGTGAGGCCATTTTGATCAATTGAGAAAGCCATTTCTCATCAGTAGGATTAAGCCTCACGGCTCAGGAGTTCCAATATTCACCGATCTTACCACGGAAGTGAAACTTTTATTCAGCGGCTCTCAAAGCTAATTGCCTGGGGGCAACAACATCAACAAGAGGATCTAAGACTAAACGATAAAGATGGATGGCTTAGCAGCTTTATAGGATTGAATAAGGCTCGGGACACGCAGGTGTCCGTGTTCACATTCCTCAAGATAAGACAGAGATTGCGTGATAGGGGAGATAAGAATAGATCGACAATAGGGAGAGCCTCTTGCTGAGACCCCTACCGCTTCGAGCAATCTAACGATCGAGTTGTCATAGATATCTCTATCTAGATCTACCCCAGATACGCCGCGCCAACTAGGTATACTCATGCATATGTGTGTCTACCCCAGATAAGTACCTAACATATGTCAGGTATCCAAGGACAAGACATATTCAATCATAGCTGATATTTCTTAAGCTTAGATAGGAGTTGAAATTTATTTTTGGTGGAGCAGGACCTTGATGGCGCAATTAGACGACATTCTGACTTGGATTTGCGACTTATTATGTAACAAAATGCCTAGTAGCTCTTGTGCCAGGTTACCTAAAACAATATAAATTCTATGCTTGTCCCATCTAGCTGAAAGCTATGACTCTAAAGCTCTATGCTATCTGGGGAACTTTCACAGTAACGATAGAGGGCTGTATAACCCCTGGTCACCTGCCTCATTCGAACGCCCATCAGAGATAGGCAAATGTGGTCACTTACAAGATACTCAAGGAGGAGGACTCAGATCTACCGTCTATATCTTTTAGGAGGTCCCCATTTCGTCACAGACAAACGGTTCAACTTCTCACCCATTAAGCTTACCAACAGCTCTCATTGCCAATGCCGTGGACGATAAGGGAAAGTCGTATACAAGTTGGAGTTCGCTGTCGCATTATTTATACGCTCGTGATGATTGGTCAATGGTTCGACTATTTGGCGCGGGGTCTTACTTGAGGGATCAGCATTTGCGGTGACGCTCGAAGGAACGACAAACATCACCCGCTCGAAGCCACTCCATGCTTGTCTGACGAGAAGCAGGAGACGATGGGTAGCACAACATCATTCCTACGCGGGAGATCACTTAAAGAGTAGACAGATGACCTCACGATCAACCGGGCGCTTTTTTCTCCCTTAACCCCATCTTGATTCCTCGCTACTACTTGAACTCGAGATCACCTTTGCCTCCCCCCCCCCCGCGCCTAGTGGACCAGCTGACGACCCTGCCGCGTCTCTCCCCCCTTGGGAAACCCCCACGCCGAGTCATTTCGTTTATTGGACGACCCCGGTCTAGCTACGATGCTGTCGGCGGCTAGAATGGGAAACCGAGGCCGGCTACACGAGGAGAGAAAAATTGAAAGAAGGAAAAGAAATTTTCTAAAACCCGGAAAGGATACCTGCGCTCACGTGGTTTTTGGCCTTTTGTGTGGCAATCCGTCTCGGTCAAATACTCCAATGCCTGTTTTTATGTACTTGCATTGGGTGTTTGCCAACACTAACCAGTTCTAGACCGTTCAAAAATCGGGCCGCCTATTCGTCTTTTGCCTTTGGAAATATCTTCAAGTCGGCTGTCGAACTTCTAAGTACAGCCTCGGGGACATCCCCTAGGATTTACGATGCCTCGGACCGGGAGTAGGAAATTGCTAAATCCGGCGGAGGACGACGAAATCGGAAATCCAGAAGGCGGTCGATTTAGTACCACCGAGATCACCGGGACCTAGAACCTAACCTCTTAACCTAGCGGTTCGGTACCAGATTCTAGTAAGTGCTATAGTGCGGTTGTTAGTAGTTTGTCACGAGGGCCTCGCTGAAATACAGAGTATTGATTGGTGGTAAGCACTCGGTCTTTCTTAACTGCACTATTGGCTCTACGCCTGCATCATATTGTATTTGTAAATCATCCCTGGGCTTAAGAGTCCAACGGCTCGGTAAGACTAGACTCTCTTAGGTGTGATTTATTTACAGCTGGGTATAGTACAAGCTTAGTTAGTATAATGTCATCATACTCCTCACCTTAAGTAACCTCTATGTAACAGCCCACGATGACCTATTTCGGTAGTGCGGCCGAAGCAAAGGGCCTGGATAGGTTCAACTTTACCTTCGCGGCAACTACCGGCCCTAGTTTGGACCAAAGAACCAGTGGAATCGAATTTGATTACATCAGGTGTGTTATACATACTATGTAGTATACTGCATAAATGATAAGGCCCCCCCCTAGGAACGAAGCCGTTACTAGCAATTGAGGCTATTTTGGACAGTCGACCCACTCCGCCGGGTTTTCAGGGTCCTAGCAAGTTCATGAACTTATGAGATGCAGGACCTGCCTGGTCTAGTGTAGTTGCTCCTTGAAGCACTCCGTGATATTGCGCTATGACAAAGTGGCGATCCCGAATTACAAGTTGCGACGGGTCGCATGTTGGGAGAGAAACACTTTGTATACGACCTGCCTTATGAGAGTTGCAGACAAAAGGGGAAATATATGAGAAGCCGACTTCGAAAGCTTCTGTTACAGCGAATCTGCATGATTCCAGACGCAGCCAAGTCGTCGAATGAGAGACATTGAATAGACACCAAATATATATTAATAAGAATATGCGATAGTCGTTGTAATAGGCGCTTTATTTATGGTCCCATCTTACTTACACCGGGGATGTAAGTGGAGGGTATTAGTATTATGTATGTAATTTCAAGGATTTGACATGTGACAGAGTTCTGGTCCTCAGTATGCATCTCGACTTGCCGTTGGGCGTCTAGACAGGGGAAGTTACACGGTAGCTCATATCCCATATTTTAACAATAAAAGCTGTTATGCATGTATATATTATAGTAGGAATTTAATTCATTTACGAGTGCCCGGGTTCCAAGTTCCTGCTGTTGTGCAAGAGAAGGCGACGATCTGCGCCTTGGTCTTGCAACGCTGAATAGTCCAAGCTCGATCTAAGATGATGACTGGCTACCCTACCAGCCTCTTCTTCAGGTGACGGACGAACACCAATGCAGCTAACGATTAACTGAGGGGTGTTCCGGCCCACTACCACGCGAACGAAAAGTAACCGTTAGACCTTGGCGGCTTCACTAAAGGGCTTAGCCATGGCTATAATAGCTAGCGAGTCAACGGATGGTTTCGTCATTATTGTTTTAAACGGCGGGGAGCCGGAACCATCCTCCAAAGAGACTTGCGTTGGAGGACCATATGGGAAAGCCACGAGGCTGAGTGAGTCTTCTCTTCTGCCGTGTTGGTCAGGCAGTTATTTATCGAAAATGGGCAGCATTGAAGTTAAGAAAAGAGGAAAAAAAAAGAAGAAAAAAAAAGGGCAGTACCAATGAGGCATCAGATATGGCCATGGTATAAGAGAGACGCAGGTTCATACGAGATCTGTTGACCAAAAATAGAATGAATGCTGCTGGTCTGGTGGAGTTCGTGATTCAACTACATAGTATGGTAGCGGACGGCTATTAAGCAACTCCAGTACTGAAGCAACTCATGGTTAATAGTGGTGTACCGCGAGCTTGTCAGCTTTAGATGATCCATTAGCCACGGTCTCGCTTGCTGTTTCCTACCACACTTAGTGAAAGAGAGGCTTGAGTGGGGATTAAATGGCCTGTGGGCTGGGCCCTTGCTTAACTTGTCTTGCGACATCTTGTCAGGGTTCGTACAAAAAGTGTGGGGGTTCGTTCATCTGGTCCATGTAAGACTATTTGATCCTTGTTCTCTAACCCTTGGTCCTTGGCTCGACCCTTGGCTTGGACCACATTGCGCGTCCCGCGTACCCTTTACTTTACCGGTACAGAGCACAGCTCTCATCCGTTGCGAACCCTTTCCCACATCTGCAAGACTGTCGAGGTGCAAGATGCTGTGAGTGACCTGGTCCCTTCGACATCGGAACTCGCTGGCCCGGTTCTAGATCGCAAGCTTAATCCCCTCTTAAGGCTCCGAGTCCGACTACATATCGGACCATAGTGTAGGCTGGGTGTTCAACATGATGCTAGAAATCTTCCGTTTCACGTAGACACCAACGAAGGATTTTTTTGTTTTGTTTTACCAGGACACTTCCAAGTATCGCGGAGGCAAGACGAAGGAATACTTGATGTTGTCCATGTGATCTTTTCATCTTTTACCGTGTGAGCTATCACTCTCAACAATGGGAACCCCCACCTCGGTGAAATTCTCGCTTCTCGACGGGATGACGACCTGTCTCCCTAAAGACGACGTTGCTGTAATACATCCCGCGGCGGACGTTGGAAGGTGTTGGACCTAGCGAACTGAGAGGACTTCGGTTACTTAAGTTGGAACGTCTAGAGCTACCCATGTAGTTTAAAGAGCCCGCTAGGTTAAATAAATACATTGAGAATCAATTCGCGCCCTCTATGCTTGCTCCTATGCTGCTTGGTCATCCTGAGGCTGGTAACACAACCTCATGCACAGTTCTTTGCCGTCGAATTGGAAAATGAGACACATTTCCAAGTTACCCTCCTACATTATTAATGGACAAAGCCAACACCATCAATGGATGACAGTACGCTTTTAGAAATGAG